TATATTTCAGGGATCAAGATCTTGAGCCTGGTGCCCCTTCCATGGGAGCAAAAAGCCTCTGCATACCTTTCCAGCCTCTCCGTGAACTCCAGCGTGGAGAAAGATGTGTGTGCAGCAAAAACCCTGCCAAGTTTTACACCCTATTTGGTCGTAGTTACTAAATTATTAGTGAAAGAACCTTCCTCTTAATCTGTGAATTGAACTTTTTTTAATAAGACTGAAATAGCCCCTTAAACTTTAATCGGTTTTGTGACTTTTTACATAATTCAAAGACAAAGCCATAAACCATAACCCCCCACCCCAATTGTCAATCTTAGGCTAGCAGTAATTCACAGACTTTTCTGTAAACATCTCTAATAATAAACATGTATTGTGAGCTGTAATATGCTGTGGTGGTTTTTGCTGTGTTGCTCGGGGGGGGAGGAATAGGTACCCTTTGCTCATGTCTTTTTTCTGTTTTGGTACATGTGTTTTTTTGTGCATTGAGAAAATTCCTGAAGGATTGGAGAGAATGTCATAAACACTACAATTCAGTTTAGCATGCTACATCTACTTTATCGAGAAAACATCTCCTTTTAATTTTGCCTTTAAATCTTTCAATTTTCAGTAGAGACTTGCTGCTAACCTGTAGGCATGGTAAATACTACCCTTTTTGCAAACTCCCTCTGGAGTCAGTTGTTTCAAGGAATATTTTCATAGAAACATAGAATGGTTTGGGTTGGAAGGGACCTTAAAAATCATCTAGTTCTAGCCCACCTGCCCTGGGTGGGGACACCTTCCATTAGACCAGGTTACTCAGAACCCCATCCAGCCTGGTCTTGAACACCTCTGGGAATGGGGAGTCCAGAACTTCTCTGGGCAACCCGTTCCAGTGCCTCACCACCTTCATAGTAAAGAATTTTTTCCTAATATCTAATCTGAACCTACCCTATTTCAGTTTAAAGCCATTCCCTCTTGTCCTATCACTACCTGCTCATGTAAAATGTCCCTCTCCAGCTTTGTTGTAGGCTCCCTTGGGGTACTGAAAGATACTTTGAGGTCTATCTGCAGACTTGTCTTCTCCAAGCTGAAAAACCCCAATTCTCTCAGCCTGTCCTCACAGGAGAGGTACTCCAGCCCTCTGAGCATTTTTGTGGCCTTCTCTGGACTCTCTCCAGCAGGTCCATGTCTGTCTTGTGTTGGGGACCCCAGAGCTGGATGCAGTACTTCAGGTGGGATCTTGCAAGAGCAGATGTAGAGGGGAGAATCACCTCCCAAATTTTCACCCCATTGTAAAACAAGTTTGAAAGGCTTTCTTAGATTAAATGCCACATTGTTAGCAAGATGCAGGTGGATGCCATTTCTTCCGGATATTTTGCAAAGCCTATTTCTCTTATTTTATAAACTGGCCTTTATAGCTGTCTGAGAGTGACACTGCAATGAGTAATGCAAAGGCAGAGGTAATGCAAAGGGAGAGATTTTCCGTGCTAAATATTTTAGGCTGTGGTTGTATCTACAGCATATCTCATAAAATTTTTTTTTGCTTTTCCTGTACTTGCTAAGTGTTGCTTTAGCAGAGGAGGCTGGATGTCACAGAGTTATGAAATTATTTTAAAAATAACATTGCTTCCACTTTGGGCACAAGATTGGCTTTAAAAAAAAAAAAGATATTCCTGGCACAAAATAACTTTTGGAAGACATATGCATAATATATTAGGTTTTTTTCTCCTATATGGTTTTAAGGCTGTCTATATAAACCCCTTTCCCTGAAAATTGTTGAGTAAAAACCTGGCAATTAAAAAGTTGGACTAGTAAGATCCTCCCCCAACTCTTACTGGGACAATACTCGGTGGCTACCTGTTCCAAACCCCTACTTTTATGTAGTAGCCATAGACTGAAGCATACAGGAGACTTACAGAATGCTGTTCCCAGATCTTCACCCCCCTCTGCTTTTCAAAAGCATGCAAAATATTTGCTTTTGCCCGGATTCCTGTGGTCAGCCTTCCTGGTTGAAATTTTGAATATTAAATTTGAACCAGTGGCCTGTCCAGTTTAGGATCATGCACCTTGTGATAATACCCCATTTTTCCCACAGAAAAGTACAAAAATGGTTAAATATTTCAGATCAGCTTGATCAGAGTGCTTGAATACTTAGAAATTCTCTGTAATATTCCTTGTGTGATGGTTAGTCTTGAAGAGTTTGCTTCAGTTGCGTCTTAAAATCAGTGCATGCATTCATCTTTGGTTTCAGTTGACAAACCAGAGGAGTGGCCCTAAAGGGCTATTCTATTCTGGTGGAGGTCTCTTCTGGGATGCTGCCTCTAATGCTGGCTGGGATTGTACTTGAGAAAGAGGGTGAATAGTAACACCAGTGATGTTTTCACAGCCTGAAATGATGGGTAAGAGTAGCCTTTAGAGCGATTGCCATGGCAGCTCTCTAGTGCTGGGGAAGGGGAAAGGCAGCAACCCTCAGCTTCAATGTCTGCAGGTGTAAGAGACAGGAGTGTGCCAAGATTTTTTGACAGAGCAAACCAGATTTCTAAGAGTAGATGGGCTCTTTCAACTCCCACTGAAACGCTCTAGAACACCCATATTTTTAAAATGAGTGGAAGCTGTTAAAGCTCAGAACAAAAGAAAGGCAAAACTAAATGCAACCTCTAACAGTGCTGCAGCCTTATCAGTTTGAACAAACAACCAACCTTCAACCAGTTGATCAAATTCATGAGTAAACATGTTGACACACTGTTCTTAGAAATTAGTTGCTCTGAACCTACAGATGGGTTGGTTTGAAGCCAGAGATTTCACGGAAGGCCAGCCTTTGCTTTTTCTTTTGTTTTTCCCTTACTTTTCCCAGACACGTTTCTTCCTGGCCATAGTAAGTGCCTGGAATGTGGATGACTCAAGTGCAGATCTCCCTGTGATTATCTTCCACAGGGAGGCTAATGTTTGCCTGGGAGAGATAATGTTCATGTCAAGTATCCTTTCAACAAAAGCACAATCTGAGCTATCTGTGAAGCATTATAGAAAAAAACTTTCAGACTCTTAATAGATTGTCTGTTAGAAAAATAGGTGTATGAATTGGAATAATACACCACTGTTGATTAAATAATACTGCTTTATGTTAATAATTGAATTGCAAATTTCGTGATGTTCCTTAGTTCTTGTATGTTGATAAATTTGGGTTGAATAGTAAGGGGGAATGTAAGGGAACTGCCTTAACATGGTGCTAGCAGCTCCTTATTAAAAAATAAAGCACAGGTGAGCAAAGGAAGTGCTTCATTTAGCTCTTGTTTTGGTAATCTCAACCTTGTGTAAGGCAGGAATTTTGAGACCTCTGAACTTTGACCTTTGACTGTTCCCATTGAAAGGAGAATAACTTGAAAAAAAATTCTCACTTTTCATGCTCTGTAGTTAAGATAATAAAATAAATAATTAAACATCACTTTAATACAAGAAGGAAAAAACTACCATAGAAATAGCTGGAATAGAAGTAGTAACACAGGTGGGACACAATGAAGAGGAAGAGGAGTAGATACCAGTTTTCAATTTTATAATTAGTTCTACTAATTCACCCTTCCAGGGTTAATAATGGTGTTCTTAAAGTGAAGGGGAGGGAAACCTCCAAGTTGCAGCTGCAGTGTGTAGGTAGACAAATGACTAAATATTAAAAAATTACATGTATTGACAGTCAAGGCTTCTAACAAACTGGACTTGAAACATAAATATTTTGGCAGTTGAAACCTTGTGAGCAAAAATCCAGATGAAAATTGGGGGTGGGTGTTTGAATTTTTAATGTAAAGTTAATTCACCTTGGGAAGTCTGAGGTCAGCAGGGACAGTTGGTTAGCTCAGGTTATCAGTATTATTATCTTATCTCTCCAGGGCTGTACTGCATGTAATTTTCTTCCGTTTTGACTGTGTATATATGTACAAAGATGGGCATTTTAAACAAAAAACTGGAGCACAAGCTTTTCAGGAAGGCACGTGGTCTTATGGCCCATATTGCCTAGTGTGCTACAGATTTTCTTTGCCGCAGTTTCTGAGTGTGTGTTAACTATCGGGAGCTCAAGAGGCACTACAATGAGGGACAAAAAATGTTACTGCTTCAGGATATTACTCTGTTCCAGAAATGGCACAAAGTACAAGCAAGGACTTCAGCAGCTCTTATTTCCTCCTTAATTTCTGGCTGTGCTTTCCCCAACTCTGACTTTTCCGTGCAAGCCTATGAGGCTTACTTTGGGATTTTGAGATAGACAGGGTTTTCTAAATGGGAAATAAACAATGTGGTTTATTGTTAAGCCTCAGCTTCCATGTGTACTGGCTGTTTGTTTAGCAAATAGCCTCCAAATTTTCTCCATTTCCATGGGCAATGTTAAAACATGACAAAAGAACAAGAAGTTGAATAGTTGTTGTACTAGGTTGCTAAAATGAAAGATGAATTCAGTTGTCTTTGAAGCTTGCTTTATGTATGACATCTTCAGTGATTCTCACAGGTTTAGCATGTTCTTACAAATAATGTCCACTCAACATGGATTTAAAATGTCTTCTTACATAGGTATGTAGTAAGATTTTTTTCAGTATTAAAATTACTGCCAACAGAGATGGCAGAAACAAACATGAGAGGAGAGTTTTGTGCAAAAGAGAGGCCTTGTCTAACCACTTAAAATTCTGAGCCACCTTCTTATGCTCTCGGCCTTATTCTTTTTTTAGTACACTGCCACTGAGTAGAGTAGCAAATGTTGGTGCTCCCAGTAGTCTCCCTTGGCTTATTTTTGGTTTTGTAGGAAAAAAAGCCTCCTGAGGGTGGAACACCTGCAGGACTGGAGCCCTCAGGCTGCCTTCACATGACAAATCTTGCTAAACTGCCCTTTAAACTGATTTATTGCTTTACTGCTTCCTATAAAAGTGGCTCCCACATGTGAGCAGCACTGACAGATAAAGGGCAGAATCACAGGCAGTGAGTTGCTCCTCACGCAGCTCTGTCTTGCTGAACCTGGGAGTGAGGGGAAGAGAGCAGCAGAAATGGGCCGCTACTCGGGCCGGAGCATGAGGCTCATCGCCATGTGTGTGCTGAGCCTTGTCATTTTTGCTGTTGAGATCTCCGTAGCCTACGTGGGCAATTCTCTTTCCTTAGCCTCAGATGCCTTTACTGTTCTCTCTCACCTGATCTCCATGATCATCGGTTTGTTCGGCGTCAGGTTCAGCCGCATCAAGTGGCACAAGGCCAGCACCTTCGGCTTCAGCCGAGCAGACGTGCTGGGAGCTTTTGGCAACTCTGTTTTTGCCACTGCTCTGATGTTCAGCGTCTTCGTTGAGGCTATCAAGAGGTTTATCAATCCTCAGAAGACGGAGAAAGTACTGCTCGTCCTCATTATCGGGGTTTCAGGTCTGCTCCTCAATGTGTTAAACTACGTTATCTTCATGGACTGCTGTTATTGTCGTGCTCCCCGCGGAGACACTGAAACAGGTAAATAGCCTCATGCGGTTGCTCAGCGTTCCCAGCCCTCTACAGTTCTGCTTAATGACTCTTTTTAAAAAGACTGTTTACTGCTTCTCTGAGATGGGCATGTAAAACATAGTTTTCTTCACTCTTTTGTTAGTGAGGGTAGTGGATTTTGTGCCTGAACCCATGCATGTTTCCAGTTACCACCATATGTGTTTATCAGTAAGTAACGTGCAAGCAGTGTATGTATTGTCTTTCTAAAGTGTACAGTGATCTGCAGGAGAAATTTTCTCCCTAATCCACTGTCTGGCTAAGCAAGGGACAAAGCATACTGCCACCCTGAGGAGATACTTGTAAATACCTAATCCTGAAATATCAGTCATCCAGAGTCTCCACTCTCAATATTTTAGTAATTCTGCTATAAATTTTGTCAAAGATGTGGTTATCTTTGAGCAGTGTTCACAGTTTGCATGAGATAAGAGAATAGGTAAGGGCAAGAGAAGAGTCTCAGCCTTCCTTGGTTTGGGAATATGTTGTGAGACTATCTGGATGCTGACTGAAAAAACGGAGCTGAAGTGTTCTTTGCTGATGTTTGTTAACCTGCGCTTGGGAAAGCATGCAGAGGAAAAACAGGTTCTCTGCTACAGAAATCTTTTACAGAAGGTTCTGTTCAATGCACAGAGGTTTGGCCTTTTAGTTTATTTGTCCTAGCATAGGAATTTAAAATTTCTTCATTTGGGAGGAGAGATGGGGACTGTTTTTCTCATTCCCGCAGCAGCTATTTCACTTTCTTTGATGCATGATACATGCGAGTTCTTTTTCTCTCTCTGTATGTTTTTATATACACATACAAACATATTTCTTAAGAATAGTAATATTTCAGTTGAGATAGGAGCCAGATATTTGCAAAGTGTTACCTGGATGTGCTGTAGGGAAAGCTGAGAGACCCCACCTGAAAAAGCAGCTTCTGTTATATGCTGTTATATATTGCTTTAGCTGAGGTGAGGTAAGTCCTATGTTTGACTTCCAGGTTTTGGAATTAGAAATTAAAAAACTGATAGTTTATATTTTAGTGTTTAATGTGTTTTGTTTTAGGTCTTGAATTGGAAAATGTTTCTGTTCATTATTAAAGGTATCTGCAGATCATATTGAAGCTTTAACTTTCCTGGTGTATAGCATTAAACCCAGATGCATAACTGATATTGGTGCCTGTGTGTTTAGATGCCCAACTGTTTAACATTTGAGCTACTCTTAGACTAAATCTGTGGCGATATGTAGTTAGCTGAGGGATTTAATAGGCTTTTGTGTTGGGAACTGTCAGCAATTCCTGAAAAAGTCTTTGTTTATGGTGACTTCTTGGAAGACAGCTTCTGAAACTGTGCTTCTAGGAACACATCAGCACTTATAAGGAAATTAACTGAAATTAATGGCAACTGTGCAGCTAAATGATGTTCTCCCTGAATTTCCAGGATCCTACTCCTAATAAATCTCTGGGACAACACAGCCATCCCTCTCTGTCCAATAGACTTTTGTCCAAATACCTGGTAATTCCACTTTGCTTTCAACTGAATTTAAGTTGCATGAACCAAGGATGAATTTCGTACCATCCCATAAATATAGTGTGTAGATTAGCTGGTGGTTTTACCTCTCTGTTTCTGGTATGGTGAAAATTCCCTGCTTGCAGTAGTGCCTACAGGTAAGATAATGCCATTTTATACTGTAGAGGGAATGCTCTTTTCTTCTGGACTTAATTTTGTAATTCCCACTTTGGTAAAATTTCACATTTATTTCCTCTAATTCTCTCTGTATTCAACCTGAGTAGGATTTTTATTACTTTTCTTTCAGAAGAAATGTTATTCCCCAAATAGTGTACTCTGAAAAGTATACTCACATGCTCTACATATATATTATGTATTAAAAAACGTGGGAAAAAAGGGATTCCATATCTCTCTTGTCATCATATGTATGAGGAAAATATGCTCTTTGCTGGAGATGGAAGTCAAGGCAAATTTTCTAGTGCATCAGCAGCAGAAATTCAAGCAGATGGGCATGGTTTCTGAATCCTGCTGATGCAGTCCAGCTGTCCATGGGCAGTACCTTTAGTGACACCTGAGGAGTCTCCTCACATGGTTCACTGATAGGTAAAGATTTTTAGAGTAGCCCTCTACCTCCCAGGCTTTCTAGGGAAAGGGGACAATTGCCTTCATATCTCTGTTCCCCATGTAGGAATAGATTTAAACAGCCCTCTCTTCTGTTGTATGTGATTGTCTGAAAAACACAAAGCAAAAAAGAAAGAGTGGTTCAGTTGTCCAGTGCTGTACTGTGGGTGCTGAGGGCAGCTGGAGCATCTAAATCCACTGAAACAAATTCTTCCTCCTGTATTAATGCCACAATTAATCACCACAGCCAACAGTTCATCTCATTTCTCTGTTGCATGGTCTGCCATCAGGGATGGAAAATTAGCTGGTGGGTTTCCTGGATGCTGCTGACAGCAGTGGCAGAGTGAGATGTGCCTACAACGAGCCTTGGTAGTCAGGTCTGGACACTGAGTGAGGTGTTTACAGGTGCCAACCCAGCTCTCCATCCTTTTCCCTTGTTCCACATCTGTACTCCTCATTTAACTCATTGCAACATCCACACCTCAGGGGCTCATCTTAGTACAAATATTCTTGTTAAGTAAGTTTTTCCAAGTTGCCATCTCTGCTTACCCAGACAGAGCCAATTCCCTCCTCCACCCATTGACTAGGCTTGTTTTTCCTCTCATCCCTTACTCTTCTGTCCCTCACCCTTCTCTTTTTTCTGGTTCTTGCTACCCTTTTCCTCTGTGTCCTACAGTGTCCTACTACCTAAGTCTTCATCTGCTGCCATTCCCTTTTGTCTCTCTCTCTGTTGTGCAAATTCCTGTCTGTCCCCTCTGCCAGCTGTAAGCACCTGTGTCTTCCCACCTGATTGAATTAAGGTCTCTCTGTCCTGTAGGTCAATCTTTGCACTTGATTCAGACAAGTGTAGTTCCCCACACTATGTTAGGACTAGGAGGAGAGGTCAGCAAGAGCACAGGGAGGACGTGCCCCTGTTCTTTCTTTTGATGCTGACCCAGAGCAAGTTACTACAGGTATAACAATATTTCTACTGTCTCTAAAGGAACTGCTGTGTAGAGGTACTTGAGCCAGCTGGGCCATCCATGGCAGAGGCCATCATAGACTAGTTGTGCTTTGACTTGAAATCCTGGATATACTTGTAAAAACAGGGAAAAATTAAAGCTTCCCCAGGAAACTTTTCCTAGGAGTTAAAATTCACAAAAGATTTTTCTTGCTGCTGGAAATGACAGAGCAACTTTAGCCAGAGTTTTCTGACAATTTCGAAATCTTGTATCTTATGCAGAAAGTTTTGGCACAAAGGTGAAGAATATGGCAAAGTAATTAGCAGCTGAAAAAAAATTATGCTCTTATAATAAATACCAGACAATTTTAATACTGGCCATGCCCTTCATAGTTAGTCGTAAAAATACAGAAGCCTGTTTTACTGCACACAGTGATCCAATTACTCTTGTTCATGTAGGTCAGTGTAACTGTCTCTTCTACTCATTTATACACAGTTTTAAACTGTTAGAGGGATCGCAGTTTGGAAAGCACCGCGTTAGTCTGATTATAATAATTCTCTGTTGTTTGTCTTGAGAAAATTAATAAAGATTTAACATGAACAAAACATTTGTTCTGTCGTTTTGTGATCTGTACAGGGAGGTGGGGGGAAGTAGGAAATAAAAATGTCACCCAGCCCAACCCATCTGACACTAAACCATCCATAAAATGTCCGTGACCTGAGAGAAACAGCTCTCATCTTCTCATGAGGGACCTCGTGGTCTTTGCACAGCTCACAATTCAGTAAATAAAACACGTTCTGTGTTAGCAGCCAAGTGGCTTGCTTTTATGTTCCCTTTTGTACAATTTAGTGGGTATGTGTGTGAGCTTTTTGCGTGGTAACACTGCTGGATCTTGGTTCTCCTATCTCAGTGTGCACCAGCAGCCTGCCTCTCAGATAAGAGGTGGCATGTAAGCTAGCAGCCACTTAAATGCAGAACACACCTTCTTTCTCCTTCTGGACCTACGCAGAGTGGGTTTGTTTATTCTGAGGCTTGCTGTGAGGCGTATCTTTTTTTTCCCAGGCTTTTGTAATTAGGAGAGATTTTGGGGTATACATGTGTGAATGAAGAGAGGCACTAGCCTTAAATGCCTAGGTGACTTGGGAAGGCTGCATTGAAGTTATATTCTGAACTAGATTTTCACAGCTGTTGTCGCAAACATGCTGATCCCAGGGGAAGTGAGGACATTTATAGGCCAAAATAAGTGGATAAATGGCTGCTTAACCTGCATCTTAATGCCATAGAGCTTCCCAGTGGAGACCTAGTGAGCTAAAGTGTGCAGGTATCAAAAAGCAATTTTAAATGTAGTGGTGCTCTCCAGTTGAACAGACCCAACAACCTATAGTGCAGATGGCAAAAATGGTCTGGGAATTAGAGTTCCAGAATAGAGGGTTTCAGTTTCTGAGGTTGTCAGTGTGATCATTAAGTTCACTCACATTTAAGAAGAAAAAAATAAGTTCCCTGATTGGAACAGGTTTGTCTTTCAAGTGCACTGCTGAAAGGGTGACAGACTTTGCCACTCTGATGACCCAGAGGCCTTTGTAAGGAATGAGAAGGAACACCTGTAATCTGGCCTACTGTGTTTTTCACACCTGAAAAACCTAAAAGCATATCCTCAAGATCAGCATTACTCTGTGCTGCCTCTCTTCTGAGTCTATCTTCACCAGATTGATACTATTTTTCCCTGAAAGCACTAGCTCTTCAGTAAACTCTTCATGTCAATTCATCCTCTGACTGCATTCATACAGATGACTGTCAAATGTGCAGCACCAGAGTTTACCAAGAGACAGTTGCTTCACTCACACAGTGCATCCTCATCCTCAGAATTTATGCTGCCTGGGTAGTGCACTGTGACATCCAACTCCTAAATGCTTGACAACATAGT